GTATCCACTGGGTTTGGCAATGTGAGATGGCCAGGGACCTCGTGAAATTTTCACTGGAGAGCTGGGAGTAAAAGACATGACAGGGTCAAGCAGTGAGTGAGAAGTGAGAACAGATCTTTGGAAGAGAGCAGGCTGGAAAGAGTTTTGAGTTGTTTTATGGTGTTGAAATGCTGAGGGGAAGGAAAGAGGGGAGGTGGGGAAGGTACAGGAAGGAAGGTTCCCGGGACCCAGGGCCTGGGTGTATAGGCAGGGGACATGGCCTTGATCAAGGGGCCTGAGGAAGGAAGGGGGAGTGCAGCTGCATTTATAAGCCTGGTGGGAAGAAACCATGGGAGAGCCTGTCTCAAGGACTCTTTTTCGAGGATGAGGCCACTCTACAGTGTGGGAAGGCTGGATGGAAAAAGCGGCAAGAGGGACCCCAGTTTTTGAGGGGGTCACTGGGATTAGTGAGGGGACCCGAGGGTCAGACCCTGGCTGGACAGTCCTGAAAGGGACCAGAGTAGGGTTGCCTGATCTAGCAAATAAAACCACAGGACAACTAGCTACACTTGAATTTCACCTAAGCAACGAAGAACTTTTTAGTATAAGTATATCCCATGCAATATTTGGGATATACTTATACTTAGCAAAACAAAACATGTTGCTTATCTGAATTCAAATGCAACTGGATGTCCTGTAATTTACCTGGGAATCCTAGCCCCGCGTGGGAATCAGGAGATTGATGGGAGGGAGTGGATGGTGCAACCCGGCCTGGAGAATGGGTCTCAGAAGAGTGAGGTGCCCGAGTGGAGAGAAGGCGGGGGTCGCTGCTTTCGTCCACCGGCGCCGCCCGATACTGCAGAGGCCCGTATTGAGGAGCCCCCTGCCCCAGAACTCTAGTCTCGTCCCCCGTCCCTGCTCCCCTTACGCCCCTTGGTGTCGCCCTAATGGCCCATCGATAACTCTACGCTCAGCCTCGGCCTCTATCGACTTGCTCCGGCTCCGCTAGGCGTCCTGGGCCGCGGTGGAACGCAGAGCAGCAAGTAAGGTACGGAGGCCCCGGGGCGAGGGCTGGAAAGCCGCTTTCAGTGGCCGGGAGAGCGCGCCCAGGGGAAGCTGGATCAGCGGGACGGAGTCAGGGTGGTCGACGGAGCACCGGGAAGCTCGAGGGTCCAGCCAGAAAGCGCCCCCGCCCATCAGGTCCAGCCACCGGCTTGCTACGCATGCGCAGCCGTAGCGTTCAGGCTTTTCCCTCCGGCCTGCCCGCCTCGCTGCGCAAGCGCGGCCCGGCCCTGCGGCTGAGTGGCGCCCCGGACGTGACTGCCCCCTGCCGGCCGCGGGTAGGGTGGCATTCCGGCAGGGTTCTTGGGGCGGGGAACGGAGCATGCGCCTTGGAACTCGGTGCTGTCCTTCGCCGGGTGTCACGCGTATCCCTGAACCTCTCTGAGCCTCATTTTCCCCACATCTAAAATGGGGATGATTTTATTTTTTATCACCGAGTAATCTGTTGTAACCTGTCTAGGACATAGAAGGTATTCCCTAAACACTGCACTCCTCTCTCTTCTCCGGATGCTCTGATCTCTGACCTCTGCCGGTCAGACCTAGGGCCCTTTGTAGATCCGAGTCTTTCAAGCAGCCCCACAATGAACACGTCTCCAGGTACGGTGGGCAGTGACCCCGTCATCTTGGCCACTGCAGGCTATGACCATACGGTGCGGTTCTGGCAGGCCCACAGCGGGATCTGTACGCGAACGGTGCAGCACCAGGACTCCGTATCCTCCACTGTGGAGTTGGGGCAGGTGGTGCTGGGCAGGATGCCTGGTAGGGATAACAGTCTGGGCAAAGGCCTCCGGTGGGAAGGATGGGCTCTGTTTGTCATCCTCCTTAACAGACTTAGCAGGTGAACGCGCTGGAGATCACACCTGACCGCAGCATGATTGCTGCTGCAGGTACCTGTACCCTCGACCCCAACCCCTGATTTCTCATAGGTCCATCTAGGCGCAGCCACACTTCAGTTTGGCCTGTGCCCCTAGGTTACCAGCACATTCGCATGTATGATCTCAACTCCAATAACCCCAACCCCATCATCAGCTATGATGGGGTCAACAAGAACATCGCGTCTGTGGGCTTCCATGAGGACGGCCGCTGGATGTACACTGGTGGGGAGGACTGCACTGCCCGGATCTGGGACCTCAGGTGTGGGGTACTGGGCAGGAGGGGTCTTCTGCCTGGGTGTGTGGGGGTGAGGGCCAGGCTGGGAGACTGTCTTAGGTCAGGTCCCCTGCAAGCAGAGGCTGAGACGGGGTTTTCTGTGCAGGTGACTTATCGAGGACCAAGTGAGGAAAGATAGGGCAGGGAATGAAGACCCACAGAGACGAGCAGAGCCTCAGCCTGATCCAATAGGCAGCTCTGGAATGAACTGCATCAAACAATGAGCCCTGCCTTGAGGCAAGGGGCCACCCTTTATGCCCCTCTGAGTCAGTTATTGGCTTCAAGCTGCCCCGGGGGAGGGTCATACCTCCCAAGTATTTCCTATGGGATAGCACCCATCGTAGAGAGACAAGATACGTGGCCAGGGAAAGGGCCTTTCGGTGGAGTACCAATGGTATCCACTATAGACAGTGTGTCCCCCACCTCGAAGGTCCCGGAACCTGCAGTGTCAGCGGATCTTCCAGGTGAATGCGCCCATTAACTGTGTGTGCCTGCACCCCAACCAGGTGAGGGGGAAAGCACAGGGCTGGGCACCCTGGGGCTTTGGAGGGCGGGGGTCCTGCCCCACCTCACCTCCTCTGCACCTCAGGCAGAACTCATTGTGGGTGACCAGAGTGGCGCCATTCACATCTGGGACTTGAAAACTGACCACAACGAGCAGCTGATCCCGGAGCCTGAGGTCTCTATCACATCGGCTCACATCGACCCGGATGCCAGCTACATGGCTGCGGTCAATAGCACTGTGAGTCCCAGGGACGGGTGTGCAGCTCGGCTCCCAGCCCCTTACCTCCCTTATTCCCTGAAGGTGGGCTTATTCCCCAGATGTCCCTCTGGCCCCTCCCCTCCCCCCACAGTCCTGCTTCCCCGTCCTGGGCTCCAGCTCTGACCCAGCCACCAAAGCCAGAAACCTGGGTGTCACTCCTGATGCTACCTCTCGCTACCTGCCATAGCCCACCCAGCAGTCCAGTCACCTCCATCTCCACAGTCTTTCCAGTTGTCCGTTTCTTTCTCCTCCCTGTCTCCTCCTGGTCCAAGTTTCCCTCGTCTCTCCCGACAGTGGTTGCAGCCTCTCTGACCTCCTTCCTTCCTCTGTGATCTCCCCCCTGCCCCTAACCCATTTTCCCTCGACTGCCAGAGCATCCTTCAGCAGTACCAGCCTGACTGCATCCTTCCCCTGGGTGAACTGCAAGATGCCCTAGGCTCCTTACCAGGGCCTCAGGACACTGTGATTTGACCCCTGGACTCCTATCCAGCCTCATTTTCTTCCATTCAGTCTCAGCAAATCAGTTGTTCCCGACATCCCCAGACCACCCACTTCCAAGCCTTTGCCCTGCTGTTCCCTCTATCTGGGTGCCCTCCTCTCATCTTGTTCTTCACATTCTTGTTGGCCAGCAGCATCCTTCAGGAAGGTCAGGCATGGCCTCCTGCCCTCAGCTCATCAGGTATGGCCCTTGGTTGGGGCCAGGTCACCCAGGTTCTCCTTGCAGACAGGGCCAGATGCGTCTGTCACATGTCCCCTGGCCCCCAGATCCTTGTGCACAGGCACAATGTTGGATGGCAGCCCCTGGATCTAGGTCTTGCTGCCAGGGCATCCTTCCCCACCTGTCAGACCGGAGGCTCCAGGCCTCCCGTGACTTCCCTCCTACACCACAGGGGAACTGCTATGTCTGGAACCTGACTGGGGGCATTGGTGACGAGGTGACACAGCTCATCCCCAAGACCAAGATCCCAGCACACACCCGCTACGCCCTGCAGTGCCGCTTCAGCCCAGACTCCACGTGTGTGCAGGGCCTGGGGGGCCGGGAGCCCTAGCATGGCTGCGGGGAGGAAGCAGTGTGCTTAGGGCTGGGGGCCTAACGCGTTGGGCCTGCTTGGAGGACGGCAGGTGGGTACAGAATGGGAGTGGCCGTTGATGACACCCCTACCACACTCACACCCACCCCCAGGCTCCTCGCCACCTGCTCGGCCGACCAGACATGCAAGATTTGGAGGACGTCCAACTTCTCCCTGATGACGGAGCTGAGCATCAAGAGCAGCAACCCTGGAGAGTCGTCCCGAGGATGGATGTGGGGCTGCGCCTTCTCGGGGGACTCCCAGTACATAGTCACCGGTGAGCCCCACCTGCCTGCCGTGCCTCTCCGCGCCCGTTGGCCCGGCCTGGGGCTGCACTCTGAGCCGCCACCCATGCTCTCCCTCTCTGCAGCTTCCTCTGACAACCTGGCCCGGCTCTGGTGCGTGGAGACGGGAGAGATCAAGAGAGAGTACGGCGGCCACCAGAAAGCTGTTGTCTGCTTGGCCTTCAACGACAGTGTGCTGGGCTAACCTGTGTCCCCTCAGGATTGCAGGCAGCTGTCCAGGCGGCACCAGCTGGATGTGTCTGTTCAGCTGCCCAGATCAGAGTGATACCCCATGGCTGGCCTCTACCATCCTAGGCTCGCTGGACCTGACTGACCTACCCTGGTCCCTGGCCAGACTAGACTGGCCCGGCTGGGCCATCCTGGGACTCTCTCAGCCCCGGCTGCTTACATGGATGTCAGGAGGCTCAGGAGGCCCACCCTAGCAGCTTGCATTCCCTTCAGAAATTCTGGACCCACAGGGCCTAGAGCCGCTGAGGGGGATCCGAGGCTGGTGCCCACCCCCAAGCCAGTGCCTCCTCCTTCCCCTCCCTGCCACTGTTTCGTGTCCCGAGGCCACAGAGGACACAGTCATGGCCAGGTGGAGTTGTTTATTAGCCCCGCCAGTGGCTACCCTCCATGGACTGGTGATCGCGCCAGCCACCTGGCTGGCCTGAGGGGCTGCGCTGCAAGGGCTTAGTCCGGGAGGTAATAAAAGCAGACGGACATGCAGATGTTGCTTGGGAAGCAGATGTCGATGCATAGGTAGATCAGCCGCTGCCTCTGGGGCCCTGGGGGGAGGGGCCTCCATGATCCCTAAAGGACTCCTTCCCCACGCCACCGACTGTCCTGCGGGAGCCCAGGCCCCTCCGCACAGCCTGCCCCAACTCACTCTCTGCTCGTCGGGCCCAGTAAATGGGGGTCTTTGCACAAAGGTTCCGCACAGAAGCCCCCACCTGGGCAGGGTCCACCTCACGGCTCCCAAGCACTGCCAGCAGCTCCTGAGCATAGTGGGTGTCCTGGCTGGGGCTGCGAGTCCCTTGGGGCTGCAGAGAAGGACACTCGCACTGCCCCTGGCTGGGTTGGGCCCACGTGTCCCTGGACATGCTGGCATTGTGCCAGCCCTGCCCTGGCTCTTGTCAGCAGCCTCAACCAAAGGAAGATAGAGCTTCTGTTCCCCTGAAACTGGAGCCCCATCCTGCCCCGGGCCCAGGCCACACACAGGACCCTTTGTCTGGCCCCTGGCCGGAGGCTCCTTACCCAAGAGGTGTTCACCAGCAGCTGAAGGGTCTCGCGGTCTTGGGGTTCCATCAGGCGGAGGAAGCAGGCCCGGTGCTCTGAGGGGCGGTAACAGACACAACCCTGGGAAGGCAGGCAGGTGAGGCAGGGCCACCTGAACATCCACCCCCGCCCCCACCCCCCTCCCTAGGCCACTCACGCTCTGCCTGTCGAACAGCACTGCCCAGCTGTGGTTGCTCTGAGCTGGAGTCACCCTGATGGTTGCCACGTTCTGGGCCACGTCCACCTGTTCAGTTTGGTTGGACCAGGGTACCCTGGGGCTCGGGAGGGTCAGACGGAGCGTCTGCAGCAGTGGCTAAGAGTGGGAAGCAGGAGCTCAGCTGACCAGGCTGGAGCAGACCCCGACACTCCCCCAGCCCTGCTGCGAGGCTTCTAACCCCGCCACCCCTCTGGTCCTCCTGCTGTCTGCTCCGAGCCCTGGCTCCACTGGAAGGGTGGGCTATGCTGGTCTCTCCTCCTCCTCCCCACTGTCTGTGCCCTGCCCAGGTCCTGAGGGAGCCTCACCTTGAGAGGGCTGTGAGCGAAGCCAAGAAGCCCTCCAGCCACGGCCCCAGCAGTGGCCAGTGACAGCAGCAGCAGTAGCAGGCTAGGAGCTCTCCAGCCCCCGTGGCAGGGCTTGGTCTTCACATGGAGGCACACTGCAGTCAGTGGGGCCTGGAGTAGAGACCAGGCAACAGGCTGGCTCAGGGAGGGAAGGGGCTGAGGAGGTATGGGAGGTGGATGCTTCTCCTGCCCCTGCAGGATAGGCCCTGGGTCTCTGTCCAAGGAGAGGGCACCGAGTGGTGGGAGACACTCACCCCGACAGGTCCAGACCCGGGTCTCTCGGCCCAGCAGCTCCCCTGCTCCATGATGCAGCCCTGGTGACAATGCGCTGATTGTCTGCTGCAGCCCGGGAAACCTCACGACACCTCCAATGAGTCAAACAATCGACCTGGCCCCTTCCCCTCCTGACCCCGCTGCCTCCTCCCCAGCCCCGCTACATGATATCCGGGTCAGAGACAGGTCACCTGGGGAGGCTGCTCGTCACTGTGCCTGGCTCTCCCAACACCTGGCCTGTGCAGACCAGAGCACACGTGGTCATGGGAGGTCATGAGAGGGTGGCCACTGTGGAAGTCAGGACCCAGTGGCTGGCACAGAGGGCAGCTCAGGCCTGGCCAACTTTATATAGGGAGTCCAGTTGGGGGCAGATTTAATTTTTTCTAAAGAAGCCTGTTTCTAGTCTCTCGGGTTACCTCTACACTCCCAGGACTGGGTACAGGGCCTGGCACGCAGCAGACCATTAACAAGTGCCTGTTTCATGAATGACAGGCATGGAACTCTGTGCCACTTCCCTTTCCTCCCCATGCACCCCAGCTGCTCCCAGGTGCTTCCCAGCCCCCACCAACACAGGGCACCCCCCAGGTAGGTGCCTGCCTGAGACCAAGATGGCTCCCAGGGGGCTCCACTGTGGTGAGGACAGCTTCCTGAAATTTGCACGTCCCAGGATGGTTAGGTCAGCCTCATGTCCACTGACCCCTGCCCTGCCCAGCGTGGCTTTCTCTGACTGGTGCCGTGCATTTCTAGCTGCTTGATGCTGTGGATCCCAACAGTTAGTGGCCCTCAGCACTGGCAGCTTTCAGGAAGTGCATTCCTTCACCAGCTTCACCCCATGGCCCTTTCATACTGTTTTTTTTTGTCCCTTGTTTTTCCTGATTCTTCAGAACCTGACTCCCTGCAGTGGGCCTGAAATGCGGTGGAGTTGCTGTGGCCAGCATCCCAACTCTGGAATTGGAATCCCAGAATGGCCTTGTACTGAGTGTACCCGGCCCTGCTGCCCTTTCCACTGCCCAGCTGTGGTGAGACAGCTGCACCCTCTGTGTGAAGGCCGCTGTCTAGTCGAGAGCGAGGAACACCAGAGTCAGCTGGGGTTTGAGAGTTTAATATACCTTTGGGTTCACACAGTGCAATGGGGTGTAGACATGATGCACAGGGCTCCCGGGTCACCACCCAGCAGAAAAGGGAGGTGTTGCTGGCTGCTGCACCTGCTGCGTGTTCCTGGTGTGGGTGACAACGCCCTGACAGGCCTGCTCAATATCCTGACCCACCTTGAGCCGACCTCGCAGAGCCAACGTCAGCACCACCAACCTCACAGGCGCCCGCTGCCCTCGTGTTGCCCACGGCAGAGTCCGAACCCCAGACACCCAGGCCTGGGGGGAGCTGGAGGCTCAGGACACCCTTTATTGCTCTGAGCACTCTTACGAGAGTTAATGAAGGAGCACTGTGACCCTGGGGCTAGGAGAAAAGTCACAGGATCTGGGCAGATGCCACTGGGTGCAGGGCAAGGCGCCAGGAAGGAGTCGGCCAAAAGGAACAGCTTCCCAGGCCCTACCCTACAAGTGCAGCCAGAGAGTCTGCTTATCAGGCCTATTCTCAACGGTCAGCAACTTAGGGAACAGGCAGAAAAGGCACGGCCCCCTGCCAAAAACCCTTGGCTAGCCAGTGGACCCTTCCAGTCCTCCAGATGGCAACTGACAAGGGACTCCAGGGTCAAAATAGGTGGCCTCATGGACCACTGACATATGACACCCATCCCAACCAAGACAGGAAAAGACTGGATGCTCTGTAAAAGGACTTCCTGTTTTGAGGGACACCTCTTCCCTCCTCTACCCAGAGAGAGCCTTGGGTGACAAGCAGTCCTTAGCCAGCACATGCCTTTGGCCATACTGCTGGCTGCGGGGCACGGAGACTTCTTCAGTGGGTTGTTCACTACAAGACAGAGCACAGCTATTAATTGACACGCTTACGGTTCAATTCCACCACTTGACAAAGTTGTTCAAAAGTTAAAAAAACTTTTGGTACCAATGCTGCTCTGAGCTCCCTGCACAGCAGCCCAGAGTTCAACGAAGGCATTCATACTCTCCTGGCACTCAGCAAACAATATGCTCAGTCCAAGTCACCTGGGTTTATATGCACATTTGGAATAGATGAGGTTTAGCCAGGCTGAGTTTACAGAACTGCACAATCGTGCATGAGGAGTTGCAGCCCTCGGTATCTAAAACGGAACATACACTCAATTGTGACATCAGAGTGGTTTTTAAGGAAGTGTGGGGTGGTGGTGAGGGCAGCACCCCACACCCCATGGACAGGGAGACACCACCTGAGACGAGCCCTTTCCTCCACTCCCAACCTGCAGGTGAGGGGCTGAGGCAGCAGTAGGCTCCTCTGCTGATGACCACACAGACGGGGCCCTGGGTTTCTCCCAACAGTCAAAATAATCAGCCCCTCCTCCCCAGGATCCCTGAAATTTTCAATAAAATACATGACACCCCTAGACCCACCTCAGTCCCATTAGCAGGGCCCAAGGTTACCTGAATCCTGGACATATGCTGAACCCAACTGCAAGACCAATTGGCACCTAAGGCCCAGGACCCCCACAATGCCCTCCAAGCTTAAAAGTGCATCTTAAAATATAAGCATTTGTAAAAATCCAACCCCCCAAACATTTACTTACAAGGTTAACAACTAGTACCTTTGCTTAACTCCAAGTAAGCAAACTTGAAGCCACCTAGCTGAGTGATGCTTAAGCCTCACCTATTAATTTGGGTGATTTTCAATTTTTTTTATTCTGGAGATTAAAGACACTAAATCTTTAACCTTGAAGGGCAGGCAAAAGGTCGGCTATGCTGTCAACATAGAAGTCAGGGACCATTTTCTTCTTAGACAGGCAGTCACTTTCCTGATTACTCTTCACATCCCGCAGAGTGGAGACCCCAGTGAGGGTCAGGATGGTCTTCAGACCACAAGTGACGCCCAGGAGGATGTCTGTGTCCAGGCGATCACCCACCATGATGGTGCGCTCCGGGTTGATGCCATATTCCTGGGACACGCAGTCGAAGATGAAGCGGCTGGGCTTCCCTATGACGTCGGCTTGGCGCTGCGCGGCCATCTCCACGGCTCGGACCAGACAGCCGGTACCTGCGGGGCGGAGAAGGAGAGGAGGAGAGTGCCGGGGGTCAGAGGCCGGGAGGGACCCGTCGCTCGCCCTCCAGCCTCCCTCCCCCGGGGCGCACGGACCCGCGATGAAGCGGCCGTTCTCGAGTGGGAGCCGGTTGTCCATGTTGGTGCCCACGAGCAGGCAGCCGGGCTGCTGCAGGTAGCGCACGGCCTTCGTGAGCTTCATGTAGCTGAAGTGTGGGTCGAAGCCCACCACGACGGCGCGCACATCAGGCTCCAGGGGCTCAGCCAGCCAGGCGCTGGGGCCGTCGCCCTGCAGCGGCTCGGGCCCCACGCCCACGCAGGAGACGCCCACGGCCTCCAGCTCGGTGGCCAGGGCCACACTGCCCAGCACGTAGGCCTTGGGGGTCGGCGGACCGGTCAGGCGCTGGCGCAGGTAGAGGGCGGTACAGTAGGCCGTGCCGAAGACCTCGCTGCCGGCGCCGGGCCCCGTCGGGCCGCCGAAGCCCAGGCGCCGCAGCTTCTCGGCGTAGGCCTCGCGGGTCTTGCTGCTGTTGTTGGTGATGAAGCCGAGGCGCTTGCCGCGGGCCCGCAGCGCCGTCAGGGTCTCGGGCGCGCCGGAGACCGCCGTCTCACCGCGCCACAGCACGCCGTCGCAGTCGAACAGCACTGTATCCACGTCGGCCAGCAGCTCCTGGG